GATGCCAGGCTTGTTCCAGGTGTTTCCACCCGTTCTGCTGTACCTGTGGGTCCATAACACAGCATCGCTGGCGCCTGCTACACTTACTGCTGTGCCACAAGCAAAGCAGAGCTGACACGATGAGGACCGTAGAGAAGGACGAAGGACAAGGGGAAGGCGCAGCAATGAAACTGGGCAAACAGGAGTTAAGGCAGCACCTTGGAGAAAGCAGCTCCTCAGGAGGAAATAGTCTGGGCCCCGAGCAGCAGCAGCAGCAGGGCTGTGCTCTGCCACGCACAAGGGAGGTGTAGTTGAGTCCTGTGGTGCTCTTTTGTAGCCTTTGACAGGCTGAGTTTCCACCTGCTGTGGTGGCCAGTTGAGTTAAAGTTCATCTACACCTCTGCCTTGCTGGGGTACACTGGGGCAGTCTGTAAATCTCCCTGCAGAGGGGTTCAAGCTCAGTCATCTTATCTTTTATTCTGCATTGCACTTTATCAGCCAAGTGGAAACCTTCTGCAGAGCTCCCTGTCATTTTGCATCAGCCAGCACTTAAACCATCAGACTTTCAGTTTGGCCCGTGTGTGGGGTGTATTCACAGCTTCTGAGCAGGGAAACGGAGGAACATGCAGCACCCACTCCCCTCCCACGGAATCTCATATGTGGTGGCAGAACTGCCAGAACGCCCAAGGGGCTGGGATACTCCAATGATTAGTGCTCCAAGTCCTTCATGTCAGATTTCAGCCAGGTAGCTTTCCTCCTTCCATTCTCTTTAAAAATCTCTGAAAACTGGTAGCTCTAGAATAACTTTTGTGTTGTTGCTCAGGAGCCAGTGGTGACAAGGAGAAACGGGCTGATACATTTGCCTGTCCCATGCCCAGACACACCATCCTGACAGGTTTGCAGCACAGCTCGAGCGCGCTCACTGCTGGCGGCCAGGATCCAATGGCCACTGCCAGAGGCAAGAGACAGACCCAGTCCAAACAGCCGGGATTAGCCACAGCTCTGTCAGAGAAGCAGTTTATTATGTAAAGAGGAAAGAGAACGATCTCTCATGCCTATATGGTCATACCCTGCTACCAGCCGAAAGCCTAACGCTAAAAATGCTTTGCATTACTAGCACCTTTGGCAGCCTCTGCATTGATACAAAAATGTTTTTCCTAAATCAACCTGCATGTCCAGGATTCCTCAGGAGACAATAAGCCCATCTTAAATGTCCTCCTTTTCCCAGCACTCCTCCAGTATAGCCCCCAGGGTAGAATACAGTACGAGCCATCCCCTCAGATCCACTCCATCCCCTCCAGCCTGTTGCTCCCGCTGCAGCCCCGTAGAAGCAGTAGGTGCAGCTGGCATCTTTGTGCAGTCTTCTGGCTTGGGACAGGACTCAGACTCTGGGGGAAATTTAGAGAGGGAAGGAAGCCACGCAGGGACACTGGCCATAAAGAATATACAGAAAGCAGCACACACAGTTTGCTGTTCTGGGGCTGGCTCCCAAGTCTTTAACCATCCTTCTAGATGACGGGCTGTAATACACCTGTCTGATTGGGGTGTTGGTCCCTTCTGCCCGTTGAGCCTACTACCCTCATTCATCCCTTTCCCCAGCAGACCCAGGGGAGAGAGGTGGTGCGTTGCCCTCAACACAGCACAACACCGGCTGACACCCAGGCAGGTGCTGGGGGCCACGCCAGCCAGCAGGGTCAAGCAGGGCCACCCTCCCTGCCTGGAGGGATTCCCACAGCCCTGGAGGGATTCCCTCCTCACAAATACTGGAGTTTCAGGGGCAGAAGGGACCGCTGCTTCTAGAACCCATACTTTGCTGCAGTTTCTTCCTCACAAATTTGAATCAGACCTGGGAAATTCTCTAGACCAGAACAGGAAGGCCCTTCCTCCTCTGCAAAAACGTAGACATCTGCATGTGTTTCATCAAGCACATTCTTGATGTTGGACAGACATCAGGCATTCCCAAGCCCACCCTGAACCTCTCTTGTGTCAAGCAGGGACTGACTTTCCTCCTGGGTCTCATGCAGGACAAGCTAGGCAAGATGGGATGGGATGAGATGTGAGCTGCAAGCCAGGCCAGATAACTCTGTTTCCCTTTAGTCTTGTATTCTAAAGAACTAGGAATGCAACCGCATGAAACAGCCTGAAACTTCTAGGTGTATTCCCCTTCTAGCCATTAGCAGTGCAACACCTTCAAAGAAAAAGCAATAAAAAAAGAAGCAATCTAGAAAATACCAGAGATGTAACTGTGCCAACATGAGGGGACATTGAGGGTGGCTGTGCTGGATTTCACCAGCCCAGGGGCTCTGCCAGGAGAAATGCTGTCTGGAAGGGTCAACCAGTCCACCACAACGCAGCTGGATTGCACAAGCTGAAGCAGAGCAGCCACTGCCAACAGGCATCAACACTGCAGTCCAAGGACGTACAGCCTGATGCAAGGAAAGGTGCTGAGGAAGAGTCCTGCTTGGCATGCAGTAGCCCAGCACCCAGGTACAAAACCCTGCTCGAGTCTCAGGGAACGGTACAGAAGGCAGCTTTCTCTGGAGGAGGTTGTCCTTGACTTCAGCTCTCCTCCCAGCTGCCCCAGGAGCAGTGCAAAGAGCAAGGAGAGCATCAGGGAGCACAGTGACACTGAAACATATCCACAGGCATGTGAGAGCAGATTCTGCCCACAGAGAGCATGAAGAGGTGTCAGAGACAGAGCCCAACCACCCAAGCCAGGCTACCAGCAAAGGAGGGATAGTGAGAGCAGTTCATGGTTCCCCAAAACAGAGAGAGCAGAGAGAAGGGGTGGCCAGCAAAGAGATAAATGGAGTGTGGTCCAGAGGTTCGTACCATCTGTCTCAAAGTCAAGGCAGACGGGAGATGGGGCAGAGGCACTTTGGTCCCTTCTGAGAGATGCTTTAGGGCCCAGCCTCTAAACTAGTGCACAGCCCTGCATTTGTGTGGCAGCATCTGCACCTAGCTAAAAAAGTGACAAGACAAAAGCTCTGACAGCAAGTGCAAGATGGGGCAAGAGGGCCTGGTTCAAACCTTTGAGACCAAAAGGCATTCTGAAACCTCTTTAAAAATCCAATTAGAAACCATTTCTGCACAGGACACCAGAAACTGTGCCCGAGTCCTAGAAGCATCCAAGGCTTCTGGACAAACAATGCCCCTGATGAAGCTCTGATGATGGTATCGCCCTTACCCAAGAGAGAACAGCAATGCCAAAGACAGTTTGTACCAACCCCACTACAGGTTAAAGATCCTCTCCTACAGTGTTGCTGCTGCAAGCCAAGAGCCCCAGAGCTGCTGCGAGCCAAGAGCCAGATATGGGGACACCAAGATTCAGAGTGAGAGTTCTTCCTTAGACAAAAAATAAAAGGTATGGAGGAGACGGACGTTCAGCACCACCAGACTAGAGCAGCCTGGTCAGTTCTTCTTGCTGCTGGGGCTCTTATTGGTAAACAGACTGACTTTGGTGGCAGATGCCACGGACAGAGAAGGAGATTCCAGCTTCACCTTATCCAGCAAAGTCTTCTTTATGGCTGCTGGGGAGATCTTCTCTTGGTCTGCCAGATGCTGCAGCTCCCTGCAATGGGATGGTGGGAGAGAAAGAGATAGCAAAAGGAGGAGATAGGGAGTGTGGGAGGCAAGTTTTGCAGACTCTTTAGGAACTCCTAGGTGCCTACCTTGTCCGGATGCAGGAAGCCTCCACAGCATTGATTAGGAGGGAACGAAAGCCACCGCTCTCCAGGAAGTGCAGGGCATGGATGGTGGCTCCCCCAGGTGAGCAGACATTGTCCTTCAGCTGACCAGGATGTTGCTCAGATTCCAACAGCATTTTGGCAGCACCCTGTGCAGAGGAAGATAAAACAGCTGCCAGAGCCCTGACTGAGGAACTGACTGTCAAATGCTCCTGTTCTCCACTGCAAAGAGCATCACCTAACCCTCAGTGCGGGCAAAACTGGGCTCCTGCCTGAGAGCCATTAGCAGGCTGCCAAAACACTTTTCAGAGCTGAAAAAGGCTGCAGAGGAGTCACAGTTCCCCAGGCCCCAGTTCCCACACCACCACCACCAGCACCAGCAGATTGCTGCAGACGCTCCCTATGTCCCCTCACCAGGAACCCGAGTGCAGACAAACCAAACATGTTTCTTAAAGTAGATTCAGTAAAAGGATCAAGACCATTTCAAACCATGATGTGCAGAAGAGTCTGCACAGAGCAGGCAGACTCAGATGTGTTCTGGAGGAGGAAATACTGACCAGCAAAGCCTGTGCTCCAAGTCGAACAGCCAGCCTGCGGGGAAGTCCCATTTTCACTCCCCCATCCGCCAGAGCATCCAGGGCAGTGAACGCCTGAGACCAGACAGAGGAAGAAGGTGACTGAAAGTCTCTACCCCAAGACTGATATTCTTAGAGAAGAAAGAATCCAGAATCACACTGTGACTTGTGTCGCTTACAGACTTGCCAAAAGCCTCCCCCTTTTCTGCATGGCTGCCATGTCAGGCTTCCCTCCCACTAGTTCCAGCCCAGGTGTGGGGGGGAATGGGAGCTTCTGGGTCATGCTAACTACAGGCCCACGTTTTGCAACATGGATGTGTGGACACTGCACGCTGGCTGTGGACTTCAGACTCATCTGACCTGTAATGGACTTCTGCTGTTGACCCAAACTGGTTAAAAACTGGATACCTAGATTACATGCCCCATCGCAAATGGAGTGATGAGAAAAACAAGAAGTGACAAACCGAAGTTGCAAAGACTTTCACCCCGTGCAAAGCCCACTGCTCTCCCCAAAACTGTCACAAGTTGAGGAAGCAGCACATACATACGCAGGGCCACTGCCACTGAGCCCCGTCACAGCATCTATCAGGTCCTCTTCCACCTCGGTGCAGAAGCCTACACTGGCCATCAGTTGTTCCAAGAGCTTCCCATCCTCCACATCTGCGTGAGTCCCAGTGGCATAGACTGTAGCACCTTCCCGGACAATCACAGGGGTGTTGGTCATGCACCTGATCACTTTTGGTGTGGGGCAGAAGGTAGAGAGTTTCTTAGGGCAGAAAAATATTTGAGATAGAAGGAAAAAAAAAAGAAAGAAGACAGAAAAATGAGCTTTAGTGCATATTTGACATAACACATAGGCTGTCTACGAAGGGACTCCCCAGGGGCAAGAACAACACAAGCAGAGAGAAAAGAGAGACTCGTGTATTCCAAACCCTCTGCTCTGAGCCAAAGCAGCCAAAACCTAAATGTGAAGTCTTTAAAAGTACCAGCAAATAGGAAGCTGGGCAGAGCTGTTGTTGGGAGCAATGCCCCAAACACCTCATTCCATATCAGCTCATGAGTCTCCAAAGCAGCTCATACAGACCCTTAGCACAAAGTCTGCAGAAATTCAGAGGAGATGACCCACCTCTGCTGAGAGAAAACAATTCCGAGAGCGCCTCATGTAACAAAAGTGCTGGCACAGAGACGCTTACAGCTTCTTCTGAGGAGGACAAGGCAGAGTGACCCCGAGCAACTCGGGGGCTGCAGCGCGAGCTGAGTCCTCAGGAGCATCAGCAACGCCCGTCCCTCACGTCGGCTCTTGGGGCCGGAGGAGCAGGAGCAGCTCAAGGCTCCTGCACGGTTC